CCAGCAGCAGTGCAAAATCTTCCAATACTTAAAGCGTCGAGTTCAGCCCTCAGTCATTCGCTGTTGTCGTATACAGCCCCTCGATATATTTTGCAGTTAAATGGCTCGGAAACCAGAAAGGCTAGGAGACCGAAAATTTCAGTAATGCCCCCAGTACATGAAAAATTTAAAATGTCAAGTTCAGCCCACTGTGATTCGTTGTTCTTGCACACGGCCCCCCGTTATTTCCTGCACTTGAATGGCTAGCTCGGAAACCAGCAATGCTGGGAGACCGAAAATCTCGAGGAATGCTCCCAGTGCTTGTGCTATTTAAAGCGTCGAGTTCAGCCCTCAGTCACTTGCTGTTATCGTATGCGGCCCCTCGATATTTTTTGCTGTTGAATGGTTAGCTCGGAAACCAGAAAAGCTAGGAGACCGAAAATATCAGGGAATGCTCTCAGTGCTTGTACAATTAAAAGCTTCGAGTCCAGGCCTCATTCATTCGTTGTTGTCTTATGCGGTCCCTCTATATTATTCGCAGTGGAATGGTTAGCTCGGAAACCGGAAAAGCTAGGAGACCGAAAATTTCAAGGAACGCTCCCGGTGCTGCACAAGCAGCCGTCGGGTTCAGCCCTCAGTCATTCGCTGTTATCGTATGCGGCCCCTCGATGTTTTTTGCAGTGGAATCGATAGCCCGGGATTCAGAAAAGCTAGGAGACTGAAATTTTCAGTAATGCTCCCAGTACACGAAATATTTAGAATGTCGAGTTCAGCCCTCAGTCATTCTGTGTTGTTGTAAGCGGCCCCTCGATATTTTTTGCGGTGGAATGGATAGCTCGGGATTAAGAAAAGCTAGGAGACTGAAATTTTCAGTAATGCTCCCAGTACTTGCACAATTTAAAATGTCGAGTTCAGCCCACTGTCATTCGTTGTTATTGCATGTGGCCCCTCGATATTTTTGTGCGTTTTTGCTGTGCGGCGCTATAGCAGCGCTACAGCCAGGAAAAACGCATATTGTCGAGAGGCTGTCTGTGTGTGTGTTCGCAAAGCGAGTGCATTTTGTCACCCACTTTCATCTCAAGAACCAGGAAAGCTGGGGGGCTGAAACTTCGGATATATGTTCCTACCCCGTGTTTCATCCTCCCGTTCAAGATGTTCCCCCATACACGCCTAAACCCCGCGCACGAGACCCCCAAGGGAATTTGTTAGCGAAAAACCGTTTCGCGACCCAGGCAACGCAGAAAGCTGAAACTTTGCAAGGATGTTCTCCATGCAAGTACGAGATAAAGTTTTGAACTCAGCCCTCTAGCTCCCCAACCACAGTCGCAAGAGCTCCTGAACCCAAAAATCGTCCGCAACTCGGACTTGAACCGCAATTGTATATGAAAATGAACGTGCATTTTTTGAAAAACGACCGTTCGGGCAATACTTTCAATTTTTCAATGAATTAAAAATTTGTATATTTTCAAAAATCCGTTCTCAGCTCGGACCTTAACGGCAATTGTATATGTAAATGAACGCGGTTTTTTTGGAAACGAACGCTCGGGCAATACTTTTACTTTA